TAGAATTTCTAATCACACCTTACCTAGAGATCTAGTGATTGTTGAAAATTTGTAAAGATAAATCTGCAGCAAAGTTCCTCGTTAAGCTCGTTTCCAAAACGCAGCACATGCACGATGTCGAACGTAAATCTACCGTCACTAAACGCCATCTTGGATTCAGGTAACCTATAAGGTTGTATATGATCCATTCTAGTGTACTCTTTGTAGCTCGTGCGAATTTAGCGGCTCATTTTTTGTTTGTATGACTGTTTTTTTTTTATGTTTGACTGTATCACTATGATATGATAAATCTAGTACAGTGACGGGGTAAAAATTTTTTTTGTGTGTTTGTCATAATGGCCACCAACTTTTTGGAATTGGCTACCACTTTAAAATATTTAGGAGCCAAGTGGCTACCGGAAAAAAATTAATTTGACGCCCTGAGAATGCTGTGTTTTGTGAAGACCGCGTTGCAAAGATTCCTGTCTTATAAGCTCATCCCACATGGAAACGCACACGCGTTTCAAAGCGTGGTAGGCCCACGCTAAACAATGTCGAGTGATTTCGGAATGAGCCGGTCCACGAACTACATTGCTTGAAAGCTAGCCAAATGTGGAAAGTTCATACTAGTTCTCACAGGGATAACAAATGAGCCATATGTGAGTTCAAACTACGAAAATACTGGCAAAACTGTGACGGCTGATTTGACAACAGACTATGATGCTGAGACGAACACCTCACTTGCTAAAAAAGTCAAGAATGTTCATGAACGCAAATTCGAAGGTAGCGCTGACAACAGCGAATCGGATAAGGATACTGACAGAAGCAACTTAAATAGTAAGATTAAATATATAAGCTTAGCTCTTCCGTCAAATATCCTGTTTCTGTTATTGGTTTATTGGGTTCAATACTTGTGAAGTACGATTTGGTATTTCGTACATAATTACTTTAATTATTTATGTACAAGCGATCGTGAATGTTGATTTGCTCTTCGCGGGGAGTTGAATGTGCTTAGTAGTAGACATTACGAACACTATGATCTACTAGACAAAATTGTCTATATGACCAATATACATGAACATAATGATGTTACAGTGTCAGTAAAAGTACAACTGACAATTCAGATCTCGTCATAGCAAATTATGTGTGTTATAATTTGGATATATCAACAAAGTTGAAATGGTAAATTGGCCACCGTAATGATTACAAAAGCTGACGTTTCGAGCGTTAGCCCTTCGTCGTAGCGTTAGCCCTTCGCTCCGACGAAGGGCTAACGCTCGAAACGTCAGCTTTTGTAATCATTACGGTGGCCAATTTACCATTTCAACTTTGTTGATATATCCAAATTATAACACACATAATTTGCTATGACGAGATCTGAATTGTCAGTTGTACTTTTACTGACACTGTAACATCATTATGTTCATGTATATTGGTCATATAGACAATTTTGTCTAGTAGATCATAGTGTTCGTAATGTCTACTACTAAGCACATTCAACTCCCCGCGAAGAGCAAATCAACATTCACGATCGCTTGTACATAAATAATTAAAGTAATTATGTACGAAATACCAAATCGTACTTCACAAGTATTGAACCCAATAAACCAATAACAGAAACAGGATATTTGACGGAAGAGCTAAGCTTATATATTTAATCTTACTATTTAAGTTGCTTCTGTCAGTATCCTTATCCGATTCGCTGTTGTCAGCGCTACCTTCGAATTTGCGTTCATGAACATTCTTGACTTTTTTAGCAAGTGAGGTGTTCGTCTCAGCATCATAGTCTGTTGTCAAATCAGCCGTCACAGTTTTGCCAGTATTTTCGTAGTTTGAACTCACATATGGCTCATTTGTTATCCCTGTGAGAACTAGTATGAACTTTCCACATTTGGCTAGCTTTCAAGCAATGTAGTTCGTGGACCGGCTCATTCCGAAATCACTCGACATTGTTTAGCGTGGGCCTACCACGCTTTGAAACGCGTGTGCGTTTCCATGTGGGATGAGCTTATAAGACAGGAATCTTTGCAACGCGGTCTTCACAAAACACAGCATTCTCAGGGCGTCAAATTAATTTTTTTCCGGTAGCCACTTGGCTCCTAAATATTTTAAAGTGGTAGCCAATTCCAAAAAGTTGGTGGCCATTATGACAAACACACAAAAAAAATTTTTACCCCGTCACTGTACTAGATTTATCATATCATAGTGATACAGTCAAACATAAAAAAAAAACAGTCATACAAACAAAAAATGAGCCGCTAAATTCGCACGAGCTACAAAGAGTACACTAGAATGGATCATATACAACCTTATAGGTTACCTGAATCCAAGATGGCGTTTAGTGACGGTAGATTTACGTTCGACATCGTGCATGTGCTGCGTTTTGGAAACGAGCTTAACGAGGAACTTTGCTGCAGATTTATCTTTACAAAT